GCGCCTTTCGCACAATATCTGAGGAAGCAGTGTGCGTTATTTCTGGAACTCTACCTCTCAGAGTCTTAGCTGAAGAAAGACGGAACCTTTACCAACGAAAGAGGTCAACAACACTGAGCGCAGGAGAACTCAGAACGGAACAAAGACAGCACAGCATCGCACGATGGCAATCTCAGTGGGATGCCGCAGAGAAGGGTAGATGGACGCATCGTCTCATACCAAAGATCGACATTTGGCTGAACCGGAATCACGGTGAGGTCAACTACTACCTAACACAGATGTTGTCAGGACATGGCTGTTTTCGGGCTTATCCCGATTTTTGAAAATCTGAGATTCTTAGCGGGAAGATAAAAAGTGATTATATCTTGGACAACAAAAATCATGTCGGCCGGTGATTCTCGACGAAAGTGTGCGCACTTAGGTCAGCGATTCTGATGCTGATTTTTTCCTTATAAGCACACCTTAAAAGAAGACAATCCTGAAAATTTGGGCCCGATATAATCAAACTTGGCCGCTAGAGAATTTTTTGAATTTTTTAACAAGTCGTTTTTTCACTGATTTTCAATAATTTATATCTCAGCTTCTACATAACTTAAAGACTACTACCAATTGACATTCTTCTCAGTAGACTCTCTACTTTTAAGAAAAAAATAAGTGTTTGGTCTAAACTCATAAAGGGCTTAGCTGACAGCCTCTAACGATCTATTTTGGTTGAATTTTACCTATTTGTTAAACACTTGCATATGTACAGTAGACTGGGCCAAAAAAATTATTTTTTTTTAACGGTACTGTGAAAATATCGTTCATGATGATGAAAAAAAATTATCGTGAAAGTTGAAGCCCTTAATAATCATGGTAAGGGGTGTATCGTTACGACTATGAATTTTTTAACAGCTACTGCATTATTTACACAAAAGTCGTACATCATCAATTTTTTAAATCATTCCATGCTATATCCTTGAAAAAAATTAAATTCCCTACAAAAAAGCTCTCTTAGTGAATTGACATAGGACGAGTCGTTGTAATCAAGCCTTAAAGATTAATTTATTTTTTGCAATTTTTTAATTTTGATTCTGGATTTAGGAAACCACCATAAATATCAATTTTTTCACAAAGCAAACTTTTCTGTAGTATATTTTAGTATTCTGTAGTATAATTTCATGCTCTACAAAAAAGGTCTCTTATCATTTTCCATCAAATTCACTCCTTTCAAAGTTATTCGTCTTTAAAGTAAAATTTAAAAGTGATTAACCGTTTATTTTGCGTTAGACATAATTGGTTTCTTTTGTTTG